TAACTTCCTGCTTTTGCTAACAGCTTACACACTGGTTCAACAGGCAGCAAAGCATGTTGCTCTAAGAAAACTGTCTACGTTGTGATCACGTGTGCAATGAGAACTTCCAAAATATAATAAAAACTATTTACAGAGGCCTGTGGTTAAAGTCTCTCCTGGAATTGCCTGATAGCCCTTTGCAAAGTGTTGCCCTCTTATAATGGTATCTTAGTCCTAGTGTCAAGTATGTTTCTGTGGTGTGGCTGGAAAAGGTGCAGGGGCTACTCTGCCCTGATGGGCAGTGTTGCTCACGTACTTGAAGGATGCTTTGTAAAGGTAATCTGCTACTGATGCACAGCGTTGTGATCTACAGAGGCTGTGCTGAGGCTCCATGTGGTCTGTAAGAGCAGCGTGTTAGTCTGGAAGAGTTGTGTATTAGTCTGAAGGTGGGGTTTGGCTCTATTATTCAGTCCCCTGGGAGGATAAAGATGTTACCTGTGTGATGCTCTTTATCTGACTATGAGAGAAGCTCAGTTTACTATGTTCATATCCCTCCCTGGAGACAGTCCAGGTGCAAGCGGCGCTTGCCAGTGACCAAAGCACCAGAATTGCTTCAAATACCTGACTAAATTTGCCCTAAGTTGGTTCTAATATTCCATCAGGATGAGCTTTTCCAAGGACTATAATGTGACTTCCGAGACAGTTCTCTAATGCTGACAAATGCCAATGGGAAAAAAAAAGAAACCAAGGATTTGCTTTTGACAGGGAGTTTCCAATGAATCTTGCCTGTCTGGTTTGACACTGCCACTCCCAGCTGTCTGCCCTGCCCCTGTGCTTAAGGTCACTGCCTGTGTAGGTGAGTTGACAAAACATCATTTGCCTGCGCCTCAGCCACCCCTGGTCAGAGCACAGCAAATGAATTAAACTACTGCTGAAGATGAGTTTGTGCTAACATGCTGGACTGGATCAGGCCCTTCAACAGAAACCTGTATCAGACAGTGTAGAATCGTAATACTGCAGGTTAACACTTATAATAATTGCAAGTATATCTGGTAGTGCCATCAAAAACCCCTTTGTTAGGAAGGGGATAGCAAAACCTGACTCTTGTGGAGAATCTTCTTTCTCCTGGCAGTCCTTGCTTCACCAGGGCCTGTCTCTTTGGGACAAGTAGATAGGAAAACTACTCGAGCTGTTATGATGCAAGAACTCACAATGAGCCCTGTGTTACACAAAATGTAAGTAGAGAGTTACTGCCCTGAGGAGCTTGCAGTCTTAAAACAAAATGCAGTTCTGGCTTTGTATTATTGTAGGAATGATACTTTTTCATTGCTATTTGATCCAGATAATTAGCCTGACAGCAAGACAGTAGAGTTTTTTCTTGGGTTAAATCCTTTGTGTTCTGCATGTACAGGAGAAGATGCAAATAACTGCTCTTACTGGGCTTCAGCCTGGGTCCTTTCCAAGAAGTTAGTAGACATTTTAATTCTTGCTTTACAGCTGCTTGCTTTTTTTTTTTTTTTAAATATCTTAGTATGAGCTGGTGTGCTACTTGCAACATTTTGAATGCTTCATCAGCCACAAACAAACTTTGAGCTCCCTGTGCAGTTCAGCAGCCTATGTCTTCTAAGCCTTGCCCTGTTTGTATCAGTAGTAAAGGAGCAGGTTACAGCTGGAAGCAGTTTATTTAGTTTCCCAGACTGGTTTCTGTGGGGTCATCCTAATTAATCCAGAAATGCACCCAACGCAATACCTGCAATAGAACTTAGTCATACGTGGAAGAGGCTTTGCAGTCATACACACACATGCTTTCCCTGCACCACTAATGGACATTTTTGTGGCTGCTGAGCTTTCTGCATGTAATTGGCTGTTTTAATGGCAGCCCAATGACTTTCCCCTGAAAAGCCATTCCCACTGTAGCTCTTGCCTCAGTGACCTCCATGTAGACGGGGCAGAAGGGGTATCTACATCGGCTGTGTATAGGAAGCAAACCTAACTGAATGTCATTATGAGAGGGGAATGCTGTGTGACCTTTCAGTGGGCAGTGCACTTGCAGCTGTGTTGCTTACTCCTTGTCCTTGTCTTTAAAAAGGTGCTGGTAGACAAGTGATGATATTGGTAAACAATCAGGTCCTGTCAGGCCAGATCAACTTCAGACATAGCCATTCAAGCACTGAAGAGAGCTTGGTATCTTCAAGAAAGAGAATCAGGTTCTTTGCTTCTGTCTTTGTAGCATGCCATGAGAGCACAATAAGACTGACTTTCCTTCTCAAAATGTTTTGTATGTGAACTACCAAGTGTAGGCTCCACCCGAACAAGAATTCAAAATAATGATAAAACAAGATTGAACTCAGATTATTTTACAAAGAGAGGTCTCAGCTTAGTTAAACTGCATTAATTTGCATTTGCTGTGATTCAGACATGCCTGTTGTCTCAAGCCCTGTAATACAGTCATGTGTCCAAATGTAGTAACTGGAATATTTTTAAAGGCAATGTTAAGTGTTGATCATAACTAAGGGAAAATTGCATTAAAGATTATTTTATACACCTTCATAAACCTTCAATTAGAAAAGCACATGAACTTTCATACGTTCTGAGTTATCTTGGTATAATCAAGAGGGCAAAGTTCCTCTAAAGAAACATTCTTACACAGTATCTGCATACCAAATGTTACAGCCTTATCTAGTGATGGTGCTGAGAAACAGCCAAGTTAATGGGAAGCTGTTTGTTTAGAGAGGAAAAAAAAAATAATTTAATTTAGTCTATCCTTGGGGTCTAGGCTGAGAACAGCCATAAAGTAAATAAAAGCAAGTATGATTTACTACTTTTAAGAACTAAACAAAAAGAAGTTGCTGTATGGCCTTGTGTTGCTTTTTCTTTTGCACCACTGAGCTGCAAAATCGTCTAGCGCTGGACACATCTTGCTTTGTTCCCCATGATCACACTGTGCTCATTTCAAGCACTCTCAGGGGGTAGTGATGTTCTTATCGGTATCAGAATGAACTGCACATCATAGAGGCTACAGCTTACTGGTTTTTTGCTACTTGCAGAATAAGCACAAAAACATCTTTTGTCAAGCAGAGTTTCAAGAACCTGCTTTTTCCTGGGTTCTAGCAATGTCTGCCTTAAAGCATAGAAAAAAATTCTGTTTGCGTAACTTCATATTGAGGGAATCCAGAGCAGTGCCCAGGGTGGAGAAAAAAAAAATCTGTGTCTCAGGCCAGAGCAGAGGCATCTCAGTTTTTTTGTGCTGTCGCAGCTCAGCAGAATAAAACAAAGCCTCCTGCTAGGGTACATAATTAGCTGCAACACAGTGGTACACAGGAGTCCAGATTAATTACAGCTCTAGTTTAGGACACTCAGCTCATGCCCTGTCCACCTAGATCTTGCACCTGAACTTCTGTTTGAATCTACTCTGTGTTTTTAACAGTGCTCAGAGCTCTTTGTCAGTGTGCTGCTCTACTTTCTCAAGCGGTGTGATACATGAGTCTTAGCAGGTGTCAGTCCATGAGCAATGCCAGATCTACCACCAGTGCAGCTCTGGATTTAATTTTGTTGTTATTTTACTTACAAAGTTGAGATTTCAGGAGGGCAGGCATGTCCTATTAGCCCTTTACTAAGTCAAAAATGGCATGGCATGTCCCTAGGGCTACCATAGATATATATGGATCTGATAAAGAAAGACCATTTCTCCAACCTAGTGGGCAAGGCTTAGAGCCCCTTGGAGCAGCCTTAGGACAAGGTATGAGCTGCATGGCTTGCTAACTTCCAGGAGGCTGTCGCATACAAGAACAGCACGTGAAGGGACGCAAGCCCTTAGATCACAGCTGTTACTGCAGCTTGGAGTTTGTCCTCTAAGAGATGTGCGCAACCCACAGCTTGTTCACTGATACTTCTGCTGGAAAACAAGAGGGAAGCAAAAGGTAATAGTTGTCACCCTGTTACTGATAAAGATGAAAAGACTAAAGTATTGTAGATATTACTGGTCCAGCCCAAGACGTCTGGTTTGTCTTTGCTAACCTGTGTGTCCCTTTTGTTCCCGTGTAGCCCCCCCACCCCGTCCCTGTCTGACAAAACATGTAGCAAAAGCTAGCCTTGTACATCCTGGTACATAGGAGCCCCTCTGGATGTGACTCAGCAACTCATCTCTTGTGTTTTGACTGGCAGGCATGAGAGTGTAGGGACAGGACCTAACGTGAGAGTCTGCTCTGCCTAAGCAATCAGCCTCCATTTGCTGTCTTACTTCCTAGCCACATGTGTCAAGTTACTGACTTGCTGAGAGGCTGGATGTAGTTTCCCCTGTATTTTTCCAGCCACACGTAAGTTGTAGCCAGAAGAGTTTGTGCAGCAAGACAACGTGTCCTACTTCCCTTCTCATTTGTGAGACCTACCTGTCTGCAAAAGACTTGCTCAGATGCTCCCTGCAGGGAAATTGGGAGCAAGTATTCTTTCACTTCAATTTTTCCTTAGTGTCTAAAAAGAGAGCAAAAGCAAGCAGTGCATGGCTGGTTTTCTCTGTTTTACTGTACAAAATAAGCATTTTTCCAACATCTGTTTAAATGACAAGAAAAATCATTCCCAGACCTTGCTCCTTTAGAAGACACTTCTAAGTCATTAAGTCCTAAATTGCACAAAAAGGAAAAACAATCTCTCTTCCATTAACTTCCCCTTAAGTAGACCAGGCGCACTTGAACATTTTCCTTACATCCTACCGTATATTTTACGTCCAACCTTCATGAATAACAGAGGTTTAATAAGACTTACAAAGTACGTGCAGTGCTGTAGTCAGGTACAGCAGTAACAGGCAGGAGATCACAGCTGGGTCCCAGCCAGACTGAAACAGGGTGCAGCTTAACAGTAACTGTTTTTTCCATGTTGATGAATGAGTGATAACCAATGCCTTATTTTCCTTGCAGTGGACGGAAAGAAAGAAGTCTTGATGAGCTCCTGAGAACTGTATTCAGTGCTGCTCAGCCAGCATGGGAATTCCTAGAAGAAACTAAAGGAAGGACATCTTGTCCTGTTCCACAGGTTAGCATGCCCTTTAAAATCAGGAAAATGTACAATCTAGCTTCCTGCTGTATGTGTAGATCTGGAAGGAGTGGAGACTTCAAACCACTGGTAGAAAGTTCACAAACTTGGTGATGTTTCTCAATAACAGTAAGTCCTAAACATACTCTGAAGTGATGTTGCTGATCCTGGTTTTTGTGGGGAAGATACACATTTCCTTGTGACCAAAGCTGGGTGTTCCATGTGGAGAAGGTCATTTCTTCTGAAGATTGGTGACTCTCCGGAGACCTTTCAATCGACTAAGCAATTCCGTAATGAAGTCCTACAATGAGAATTGGTTGAAGAAGGAGATCATGTTAATTCTGGTGCTCACCAGCCCAAAGAGTGCTATGGTGCTTGCATTATTCCCACATTCGCCTTTATGTTGAGCAGAAACCAGAAGTTTGACGTGTACTGAGCAAATCCATCTTTTAGCTTAGGAAAGGAGACTTTTTGATAGATAAAACGGGTCTAAAAGCCTCTCTACTTCCCTTCCCCTGTCTCCCTCTGGAACAGCCATGTTTACTTCCTCCCCAGGAGCCAGCCTGCCCCTCTTCATCCCAGTTACTTGCTTCTTCCACCTTGAGATGACCTCAGGATGCTGTTGTCCTCTGTTGGTTTCCACTGCTTCCTGTTGCCACCATAACCTCCTGCCCGCTTCTGCTGCCCTCCCAATCTAGGGCAAAGTAAGCTGTCCCTCTTGCTGAACCTGTAAAGCTCCATGTTGTGGATTGCAAACCATCCTATCCTGGAGCTGTGCCAATTCCACAAGGAAGTGGCTGGCAGAGAAGAGGTGGAGCAAAACACATGCAGGACTAATGATAACCTAGAGCAGGGGTTGAGGACAGGCAGAGCAGATAGATGAGCAGTTAATGGAGATAAACTCCGACTACTTTGCTGACACGGCCAAGGACTATGAACTAAGCTGAACCATCTGGTTATTCCAAGCAGAAGGCAATGTGACTAGTACAAACTTAACCCTCTACATGACAAGTAACATCACCATAAAGGAGTGCGCATCCTTTCTTCACCCAAAGAGATAGCTACATATCCTTATAATAAGGCAAGGGCGCTGAAAGTGTTGCAGCTTGTTACCGTTCGTGCTGTGTGGAAGCCCAGCTTCCTCACTTGGGTGATCAGAGGCTGTCTGCCATAGCATGCACTGGAAGTAAATGCCTAGGATCACACACACCTTTTCAGTCAGTCCCTTCAGAGGAAACCAGTATGTCTCCTCCGTCTGCTTTCTGCAAATAGGCTGCTGTGATCTTTCAAGGAGACTGGATTCAAGATCACCAGGGTGAAAGTACATATTTTTGCCAATAGGGCAGCAGTATCCATTTGTAGTTAGCAAGTATCGTGCTGTCTGCAAGACACTTTCATGGCTCACAAATCAGTAGAGCAAACTCTTTCCAGTTATCTCTCTGGGAACATGGGGTTCTTGCCTCAGATCTGAAATTCAGACACTCTGAAATCTCTTCCCCAGTCTTGTCTGCTG